TACTTAAGTAACATTTTCAATGCAGGACTTTTACTTGTATCAGAGTATTTTTACAGTGTGGTATTAGTGATTTATACATTATGAGGTAAAGGATCTTAATACTTCGTCCACATCAATATTTAATGAGGTTAACTTAACGTTACCCTCCTTGTGGTCAGTCTGCACATGATCAACAAGCGTGTTTGCTTTGCGACCCCTTTAAATACAAGATAAGCATTCGATCTACGTCAGAGCGTCCACGAATCTTTCTACAGCGTTGTTGGCAGGTTTTGACGCTCTCGATGGCGGCGGTGTGAACGCACAGTAAGTGCATTACCGCCACCTATCTGTCAAATGGACCTCTATCTACAATCTCAATTAGGAGTGTCAATGGTCCATTTGAGAGATACTGCAACGGTTTGAGTTAAAAATCTTCATTTGTGTTCTACTGAAGGAACAAAGTCACTTACAGCTTGGATGCCATGGGGGTAAGCAGATAAACATCACATTTTCATTTCTGGGTGAACTATCCCTTTAAGACGTTTTAACTTGAAACTGTCGTTTCTGGCCAAAATAATCCATAATAACGCTTCCTCCAGTGAAAAAGTCCATCTGTTGTTCTCTCATCAAAATCCACCCACATGTTTTAGAGCTGTTTTGGACTGTTTTCATTCCAAACGATGCTTGATCTGTGCATATTTCTCTCCTGATTCAGATGAGGCAACTTTTTCACTGGAGAAAGTATTATGAATAGAGGACTCGTATTTTAGCGCAGGGGTGTCAAACTCAATTCCTGGAGGGCCAGAGCCCTGCAGAGTTTAAATTCAATCCTAATTAAACACCACCTGATCCAGCTAATCAAGTCCTTCAGGCTTATTTGAAAACTACATTGTATGTGTTTTTTGGAACAGGGTTGGAACAAAACTCTGCAGGGCTCCGGCCCTCCAGGAACTGAGTTTGACACCCCTGTTTTAGCTGGAAGCAATGGTTTGAAGTTAGAAACAGCTTAATGATAGATTTGTTTCTTACAAACACACAGCTTTTGGTTTCACAAGACGTAATTGGTGGACTGGAGTGGTGTGGATTACTTGTGGATTATTGTGATGCATTTATCAGACTCTCATTCTGACGGCACCCATTCACTGCAGAGGATCCATTGGTAATGCTAAATTTATCCAAATCTGTTCTCATCTACATCTTTGATTTGGGTGAACTATTCCTTTAAGAATGTTTAGCTATTGGAAACAGACAATATTACTGAAGAAGAAAGTATTTTTGCAGTGCATTTCATATCAACTATAGCAACCAGATCAAGCAGCAGCATTCTGACCAGCTCTGATACTTAAGCACTAAACCACTTCACCACCCCTCCAAAACAAATTTGTGCTTCAGTATAAAATATATTAACTCAGTATGAACTATAATAATCTGCTTCCTGGTTACACAAATATCAATCTGTTGACAATCACTTAGTCGATTTTGATGAAGCAGCTGTTGCGATGTCTGCTCGTTTAGACAATTTGTAGTGGATAAACTACTCATATGCTATCGTCTTCTAAGACAGCATATGACCCTTTGCAAGGTCTCTGTAGGGATTTTGTCAGATCTATTGTTGACTAAAGGCTTTGTGCTGTCGAAAGAATCACTGCAGACTTTTAAGGGTTCATGCAGCAAACGTACAACGGGGGTTCTGGAAGGAATCCAGGCCAGCGCAGCCTGTACCAGGACTTTGTTCTAAGAGTTCTCAGTCCAGCTTTCATTCATCTTTGATCATGAGAAGCGTCTACTGACTTTACCGGAACAGATCTGGTCCCCAGAGCGATCAGAACACGAGCTCTGTGTTTTTCCAGCCTTTCCCCGTGCCTCTGTTGTTTTATTTGGCGTTTCTGCATGAGCATTTTTTGAACAGCTAAAGACACAAGAGGGTTAGAGAGGCTTTCAATTTTTCTCTCAGAAGTGGCTGGATCACTAGAGGACTGTCAAAACAGTCTTGATGGCACCTCAGGGACATGTTAATAGTCTCTGCGGCAGCTGAAGTATGGTTGACTTGTACTGTCCCCACTCATCAGTCGCGGTGTGCGAGCGGTCACCGTTTGACTCGAACATCCTCTTTGGCGGTTTAATGCAGCACTTTCAAAAGCTCGTCTGGAGAATTCATTACCTTGCTGCGGTGATATTTTCTGCATTGCTTCGTTCAGTGAGATGATAGAGGAAGCCGTGTGCAAATATCTGCCTTCTAAGGGAGCAAAATCAAACCCTTTTAGCAACTTATTTATGCATAAAAGCGTCTACCAAATGCATATGTAAACGTATTTGGAATGCTTGGAATAGGTTGCAAGTCTGCTTGCTATACAAATGACAAACAGTTGATTCCAATGGAGTATGATGTCGCATGTTGCTAAGCTAACAAGTCAACACACACACATACATATATACACATTTGTGTTTAGAATTGTATGTTTTCAAATAAATTATTATAAAAGTTAGGCTATATGTACATGTATGACACGTATACACACATTTAATCGATCTCTACATATTGTTCTCTCTCTCTCTCTCTCTCTCACACACACACACACACACACACACAATCAGAATCTTGTTTATATACAATGTTTGTTCTTTATGAAAAACAAACAAAGTTACACAATGTCGATGAAGATGGAAACAAAAATAATCAATAAATGTCCCATCACTGAAGGGAAATCAGTGGGTAAAAAAAAAGGACATCATCAAGCATTACATGTCACACAATTAATACGAGTAGCTCAAGCAAACTCACAATCTCTCCAAACACACATATCTACAAATCATGTGTTTAGCAAACCACATGCTCAAGCATTTGACATTTTTTCCTTTAGGGTTGAATCTCACAAAGCTAGTGCTGGTCATATTTCACCCCAAAATAAAACAAAATATTAAACATATTTTGGATAAAGACTAAAGTATATTTTTAATGTTTTTTTAATGCATTGTGGCATGACAATTAAGCATATTTCTCACATGAAAAATGTCATTCTCATTGTTAAAATACCTGTATATGGCTTAATAGTGAAATATTTATATTATATGAATAATACAAAAAATTTGCTTAACTGTCATATATATATATATATATATATATATATATATATATATATATATATATATATATATATATACACACCTTTTGATTTTTGGGGTAAAATATGACGTTTTGTGTGTGCGGTGAACCTTGTTTTTACAAACCTGATTTATTTGAGGTTAGAAAAGATTACAATATGTTTATTTTACAGCACAAAAAACCATGATTCACCAAGATCTCCATCCAGAATAACTGTACAGATCAGCTGGCAAATAGAAATAATATTGACCTAAATTTTCTACTAGCTAGCTGTAATAGTACACACTCATGGCCCAATGACATCACTTCAATTAATCTAAAAGACCTGAGTCCAGCCTATCATCATGACGATGTAAACACAGGGCATATGGTGACTGTGTCTGTCTGTGGTTCTGCGACTCTTTCATTCACAGCAGAACTTGTAGGATTGTGGGAGGAGCTGTTTAAAGGATGCGCCTCACAGGACGACTTCTGCGTTTTGATTAGTCCAGAGTCACTAAACGCTACTTCCTTCCCCGATTCTTTAGTCTCTTCTTCTACTTTAACATCTTTCTTGCAGTTTATCTTGCCATCCTGCTCTCTCTTCTTCCGTTTCTTTGGGACGGCATGTTTATTTTCCTCTATCTTCAGCTCGATCTTCACTTCCTTTTTCCAGGCTCCGAATGGGAGGATGTCCAGGTCTCCACCTGAGCTTTCACACAGCATTGGCCCCGCCCACTCTGGAACCTCCAATCCCAGCAGCTTCATCAGTTGACCCATGACCTCATCTACGTAGCTGTGGATAAGCAGGTGGGCGTGTTTGTCCTACAAAAAAAACGAGTAGCACTGTTAAGTAAAAACAACCTGACAGATTTTAAAGTGACGGTTCACTAAAAACTGTAATTATTTACTCAATTTCTTTTCCATACAATGAACATAAATGATGATTAACCAAACATTTTTGTGGATGTTAATTTAAGCCATTATTCACCATCACATTTAGCTATTTTATGACTTCAGAATTGATGTATGTTTGCAACATGACAACTTTTTCATACATCAAGCTTTTTTTTTGTCAATCTTCTTCTTTTGTCACTTTCTGTATCAAATAAATGCTGTTCTTTTGAACTTTCTATTCATCAAAGTATCCTGAAAATACATAATGGTTTCCATAAAAATATGACGCAGCACAACTGTTTTCAACAATGATAATAATCAGCAATGGTTCTTGAGCAGCATATTAGAATGATTTCTGAAGGATCATGTGACACTGAAGACTGGAGTAATGATGCTGAAAATTCAGCTGTGCATCACAGGAATAAATTACATTGTACAGTAAATTCAAATAGAAAACAGTTATTTTAAATTGCAATATTATTTTTCAATATTATTGTTTTTACCATACTTTTAATAAAATGCAGCCTTGGTGAGCAGAAAAGACTTTCAAAAACAAAAACAAATAAAAAATCTGTCTAACCCCAAACTTTTTCCCAGAAAATTACACGTCTACGTTTTTTTTTTTTTGACATTCTTTAGCCTGTCTGTGTGAAATACTAATTTACTTTGAATGAATGCACACTTTAATCAATCACAGCAGATTCAGATTACAGACAGACATTACGAAACTGCACCAGAAATGTCAAATTCTACTTCTTTACACGTTAAGCTGCTATAATACCATAAACTCCCCCTCCAAAAATCTGACATGTTGTATCTCATGTTGTGTCAGGCTTTGAATTTCAAAAAGATTTATAAAAATAAATCCAATTTGGGAACTGAGATGTTGACAGGAAGTGGAAGCGATGAGGTAAAGCGGCAAAAATAACCTTTAGATGGAACATGAGTCAAACACGGGCAGATAAAAACACGTTTAAAAATGAATAGGATTAATCCATTACAAACATTCTAGTCACATGACGAGATCAGAAAGAAATGCCAGACTAAGGATACGAGCTTAAGAGAAAATCCAGCCCGACTCTTTGATGAAGCTGCAAAGCTTCTTAATCAAAATTGTTTTAATAATGAGCATGAATGGTCAGACGGGGTTTAACGCAGCTGTGCTTTTGAAGGATGCTAATCTGAGTGTGTGTTCACCGCTCACAGATTTCAAACTACTACGCGTTTGTGGAAGCATGTGTATTTTTGTGTGGGTGAGGACTAAGACAAAGACTCTAAATCTAGTGAGCTGCTGTGCTGTCTGTTGTCTACATAGGCAGAATATTAACTGAAATTGATCCTTATACATCCTTATAAATTGAGTCATCATTCAAAAACTTAGGGGCTGGTAATATTTTTGAAAGAAGTGACTAAGGAGCCACTAATTGTGGCCACATTGTACTAATTTGTTCCCTCGTTTTAGTAAATCGTGGCCATGTGTTATTAATTCGTTGCTAAAAAAAAGTATCAATTTGAATGAATTTTTAATTAGAATGGATTTTTTCATGAGGTTTTTGAGGTATTGTGTTGGTGAGACGTACATGTTTGGTAGGCTGAAGGTTGACTATAACCAGCTTCCCTCCTGTGCGTTTGGTTAGAAGAGGCAGATCTCCGCTAGGTTTAATTTGAAGAGATGTACCCAGCGTCAAGGCCAAGTCAGCTCGCCTGTGAAAAGAGAGGCACAGTATCAGCTGCTGGGGGCTGTTGGTCATACTTCTCAGTCTCAGTTTGTTCACCTGCAGTCCACCTTAATCATAACGCACACAAATGTCAAGCTACAGTCTGATCACATGGTTCCTTTGTTGATGCAAATTTGAAACATTATTATGCAAAACTTGTCAAGAACATGTCTCAGGCTGCATCCGAAAACTTAGGCAGATGACTTGCTGCCTCGCTGCCGTATGAGGCAATGACTTTGCAGGCAGCGTTTTTGCACGAAGGCACCTCATGAAACTGATTTCGGACAGGCTTCTGAGGCAGCGTAACAGTTTAATGAGCTACAACAAAATAGAACGAGTTTTTGTGATAACTAAACGAATATTTAATTACTATAATACTGATTTCTCGCTAGAAATAACATCAAAAGTGCAAAAAGTTCGTCAGAAATATACATTTACACACAAACGGACCACCAAACGCAACTTTCAGGTGCCATCTTTATTTTTTAGCTCAACTGTCACGGAATGGAACGCACAGGATTGTGGGATATCAAAGGCAGCGAAGGATACATCTATGCTGCCTTCAAAGAAGAAGGTACCTCCGGAGACAGGAAGTAAAGCAGAATTTGGATTCGGACGTGCCTTGATGCCCTCCTGCCTTAGAATGCTGCCTCCGAAGGCAGCATTTTATAGTTTTCGGACGCAGCCTCAGTCACACTTCACCCCAAAGGCAAAAAAATCTATAAAAAATCAAGAAACTTCGCATAAAAAAGAATGAATATGTTCATTGTTAGGATAATTTAGAACAAGGATTGTGCAATATTTTTTGTACAGCCTTTCAGTGTTATTTTAGTATTATTTAGCTACTATTATATAGTTTATTAATGTTATTATATTTTCATTTTAGTTTAAATTTTAGTAATCTATGCTGTTTTTAATTGTATTATTATTTTTTAATATTTCTATTCAGCTTTATTTTATTTTTTTTTCAGTTTTAGCAATTTTAGTACTTAAACTTATTTTATTTCAGTTAGTTGCCAAGGTAACATTTGCAATTTTTCCAAGTTTTTACCTAATATTTATATTTAATTTTATTTCAGAAAACATTTGAATAGAAAAATAACAACGCTACCGCTTTTATGCTGTTCCAAATAAAATAAGTGTATATACAAACACATCAAAACATTACTGTAAATGAAAATTTAATGAACAGCATAGTTACAAAAATAAAATACACACATTGTAATAATGAGAATTAGATGAGGTAATATGCTAATCAAAATAATTTCATGATGCAAAAAATCTTAAATAAAAACCTAAATATTAGGCTGCATTTTTGTTAGGTAAAATAATAATAATAATAATAATAATAATAAGTTTAATTAATAGCCATGTCATTTGAAATAAAATGTATACAGAAAATTCTGAAATGAGCTGAATGGGTCAAAATGGTTGACTAGTCCAGTTGTTGGACGGCTAGTTGACCCTTTTTTCTCCTTCACAAGAGTTGAAGTGTGTTTGCTAACCTGACATTGCAGAAAACATCTGATTACAGAATAGCAACATGCAACAGTGATGAAGAAAAGGCTGTAAGATATTCACAGACCTGAACTGAACTGTAACATGAGTTCAGCTGTAATAGCTTGTGCCTTTTATCATCACTGTTTCTAAGCTTGTCTGAAATCTCTTTTTATCTGAACATCATTAACTTTAAAGTACACACTTCAGTACAATACTCATGTTTAATTAAAGGTAGGGTAGGCAATTTGAAGAGGCTAGAAACAGCCATATACATAAGGAGATAATTATCCTTTACAAAACATAATGAATACTGGTTCACTAAAAGCTCTATTAATTCCCCATGAACTACTATGACCTGGATGAAGAAGAGCTTTCTAAATGCATGACTTAAAGAAAGAGATTTGCTGAACCTTCCTTTCTCCACAACATCCAAAACCCAGACATCTTTCGAAGTGAATGATTGCAGCAGGCTAAGAAAAAAAAAGCTACTTTTCTTCTAAAGAAACCACAAGTGACCTCAGACCATGAGAGAGAAAATTGAGAGTGAAAAACAGCAAAAGTAAGAATTACGAATCTTCTTTAAGTCTGAGCAGGAGCTTATAGGCACTTGATTGGTTTTTGAGTCTCATGTGGTCGTAGGAAACTCATCGGCACCGTCCTGATTTCACCTGAACACACTATCAATCCCAGAGTGCCGTGTATCCGCTGTGAAACCTACATGCCTAGCTGAGCATTTTCAAATGTGTTTCTAAAACACATTTGAAAGACAAAAGGTGGTCACATTTCAAAGAAATTTCGGTCCATACCCAATGTATTAAGCTAAAAATTTTTTGCATTCCATCACTTGCTCACCAATGGATCCTCTGCAGTGAATGGGTGCCGTCAGAATGAGAGTCTAAACAGCTGATAAAGACATCACAATAATCCACATGTAATACACACTATGGTTGTGACGGTGAGGAAATTTTCCCACCGGTTAATCGACGTGTGACAACACCGGTAATACCGGTATCACCGCGGGGGCAGGGTTCTTGTCAGTCAGCTCGACTCACTCTCCTCACTGTAGAAACGAAATCTGATCTGTGATTTTGGTCGTTCAACTGCATTGAGCAGCCACGTTCAGTTTTTAATTGTAGTGTCTGTTCTTTTACTGAACTAAATGATTTTTATTACTATTACAAATCAAAACGATGGTGGGGGTCGGTGACGCAGTGGGCAAGTGACGTAACTGGTGTTGCGGCTTAACACCGGTATCACCGTCAGCACCGTCTATCGTGGCAAGCCTAATACACACCACTCCAGTCCAGCAATTAATGTCTTGAGAAGAGGATCCATTGGTGAGCAAGTGATGTAATGCTAAATTTCTCCAAATCTGTTATGATGAAGAAACAAACTCATCTACATCTTGGATGACCTGAGGGTGAGTACATTTTCAGCACATAATCATTTTTGGGTGAACTATGCCTTTAATAACACATATCCCAATGTCTATATATGCAGGATCTCATTTATAAATCATGTAATATCTAGTGATCTTCTAAACAAGGAAACAGTTATATTACATAAAGACACATGCAGCTTTGTAATACTGTGCCCTAAAGCAAACTCTTGACAGACTGGAGGAACTCAAACTGTAAGTATTGTGCTTTACGATAAAGAAAGAGGAAAACCACATTGGAGTGCTGTCTACTTCCAAGGTCACGTTTATTTTCTTTCAAGCTGCAGTGGATTTTGAAAGCATGTGGAAGCCCAGAGGACAGTCGTGGGTCAGATGTGCAGCAGGTGTTGTGGGATGTTTTGTATGCGTGCGTGTCTGTGTGTCGAGTCTTGTGAGACTGCAGTACGTTCACTGTAATATAATTAAGCTGGATCTGGTGCTGTTGATACAATGATCGAGACTGAGCACTCTAATCTATTCATTTGACCTGAAACCGAAGCATTTAGAAGTAATTAAAAGCGTATTGATATACTAAACTATTTGCATGCAACACATCAACAATTTTGACGGTCGACAGCATTGTACAGGAAGTGAGATCACTCTGATGTACTGATATGAAGTTTTTAATATATCATTGCTGGAATATACTGAAGCAGTTTGACTACAGCACTGCTTATGTATACATTAAGTCCATAATTCATTACAGTTTTGCAATACATTAACCCAAAGTCATGATTTATTGCTCTATATATTCCTGTGGACATTTTAAAATTGGCCTGAAACTGAAATCGTTCTAGTTAACTGTAAAACCGCAGCAACCAACTGGTCAAAAGTTATACATAAAAGGTATACATAATAGTAAAGCTAGTATCTGCCTTTGAATTTCGTTTCCTAAATTCACCTGTCAATCACCAAACATGCTCAATCTTATTTTAGACCTGTAACTGCTACTTGCCTTGTTCTCAACAAGCATTCTTGATTCCCTAATTATAATGGCCTTCTTCCTGAATTATTAGAGCACACCTTCTCATTCTCTGGATATTTCTCTTCCTTACCGACATGCTTCATCGGCTCTATTCAGGTCTCTGTCAGGCAGTGAGTCCTCCCAGTCCAATATAGTGCTGATCAGCTTCCCTCTGCAGAGAAAAACACACACGTAGTTATGAGACAGAGCAAACAGCTGATGACAAGCACAGACATCTAAGGGGGTGTATGCACAGATGCATCAGACAGACGTCTTTGTGCGCTTCATCATGTTTGACTGAGCATCGTGTGCCATGAACATTTTTAAGACAGCGTGTAATGTTAAGAAACCAACGCATCAATGTCAATATCAAACTCTGTTACTTTTATTATCTTTCACATGTTTTGACAAGTTATTATCATTAGCTAAACCTAAAACAAACAAACAAACAAAAAACATTTTTGTTACAAAGAAATAAAACAATATATGATTTTTTGTTTTAGTTCACTGCCAAGTCAACATTTCTCATTGTATTAATTCTATTGACTTATAATTCTATTTTAAAGGGGTCATATGATGCGATTTCAATTTTTCCTTTCTCTTTGGAGTGTTACAAGCTCTTGGTGCATAAAGAAGATCTGTAAAGTTGCAAAGACTAAAGTCTCAAATCCTAACTTGCTGTACTAAAATAACTAAAACTGAAATCAAATTAAAAACTATAGACACTAAAAAAGTAATAAAAACAACAAAATTACTAAAACTTTTAGTAAAATAAAAATAAAAATGGAAATTATACAAATAAAAGGATGCAAAATATTAATATATTCTACAACAGTATATTATGATAGTAAAATAACACTGATAATGTAATTTTACTGAAATATTTTACATTCGAGTATCTGGGGCCGGATTCACGAAACTTAATCTTAAGAATAAAATTTTATTTTAACTGACATTTTCTTCTTCTTTTCTTACTTAAGCAAAACGTTACATACAAATAATTCTTAAGAATGTTCTTATCTTTTCTCTTAAAATAGTTTTTAAGACAAAACTTAAGAATTCAAATTCTTGAAAAGAAACTTCCTACAAATCAATCTAAATAACTTCTTAAAGTTAGAATATCCTCCGACTTGTCTTACATCCCCAAAGGTAAGATGTTTTATAAATGTATTGGGTTATTTAATATAAATTGTTGTAATTAAGCATTACAACATAACGCTATAATACATATTATTATTCCTAGGGATGTGCACATGTTCTTAAGTGACACCAATGATCGATAATGTAAACAATGATCGGTCATGATTATGTGTGACTCGACTTTGTGCTGAATTCGAAATTCAGTAATGAGTCAAATAGGGAGCTCGTTTTTAATTTCAGCCCATAAATAGGACAATCTTCGGCAAAATTCAGTATATATGAGAGCGCCCATACATCTGACACCAAACTTTATTTATCTTAAGAAATTTATCTCAAAACCTTCTTTCAAAAGATGAGTCCGGCTCCTGATGACGTAACACTTGCCTGCTGCAAAGTCAGAGGATGCTCATGGCTGGATTATGAAACGAAGGGGCCGGTGCCCCAGAGCCTCAGACTGCCAGGGGCCATTATAGCCAAAGGTATCACAGCCTGAGACTGCCAATAACAACTGAGCAGATCCCTTGGTACAAACGGTGTGAGCTGAACACTAGGGCTCCAGAGGCCCCTCAGCACATACGGACCACTAGCAGGCTACTGACAGCTCCAATTACTAATGTCAGTCATTCAATATTAGCCTCTGAAAAATTGCTTTTTTAAAATTTGTTTAACAACTGTTTTTAACATTGATAATTATCAGAAATGTTTCTTGAGCAGTAAATCACCATATTAGAATGATTTCTGAAGGATCATGTGACACTGAAGACTGGAGTAATGATACTGAAAATTCAGCTTTGCATCAAAGGAATACATTTTTAAATATACAATAGAAAACAGTTAATTTGAATTATAATAATTATACAATTATAATTATAATAATTGTTGCTGTTTCTGTTTCGTGCAGATGTGTTTTATGTAGTATAGTTTCAAAAAGCTAAAGTCAGAGCATTCTGCTTTTGCTTCAAATTTCCGAATTATACAATCTAATTTAGATTAAAAACTGCTCATGCTGCATGTATGCAGCATCTTTGTTTGGATTGTGATTAATTTTAAATGGAAAGAGCACAGGCAAAGCCGTAGTTTATTTATATGAAGAGATTTTTTTTACTTCTAGTATTTATTTTTTTGATTTGAGGTTTGTTTAAAAATTTCTATTTAGTGATGTTATTCTACATATTTTAATTTCACAAAGACATGTGCAGCATTTTGTCCAAGCAATAATAAAATGACGCTTTTTCATTTATTATTAGTCTTAAATCTCATTTTGTTAACAAACATCGTGAGAAAATCGTATTGTGAAATCAGTATTGTGAATCGTATCGCATCGTGAGTTGAGTGATTGTTACATCCCTATATTTGACCAATGAATTTCCAGAACCTTGTCAGTCATTTGAAATTTCTGAACAAGGATTTTCAAACATTTTATTAAGATTCACTCACAAAGGGCACTTTAAGGCAAATTAAATGTAAAGAAAAAAATCTATAAAAGAAGTATGCAATTTGGAGCGGTTAGCCTAGCCCATGCACTCTCAAACGAAAGCAAAATCACCCTCAATTGAAGATCTGGCAAACTATCCATGCATATTTGTGTTTGCGCTCTGGACAGCGTCAAAAGTAACTAAGTGTTTTGCACCGTTGAGCAATGTAGCAAAACACAGACATATCTGTTGATTTCTTAATGGCCAATCAGAGGCGTTTTAGTTGGTCAGAATTCACTGACCGCTAAAACCGACGGAGTTTTTGTTCACTTCAGTTCCGCATGCTAGTGAATCATCTCATAAAGTGCAAATGCAATGTAAATAAGAGATTCATTGTGCAGTTTAGAGAGCTTCATTGATTATAATGGAACTTTGTGAGATCGTATGTAACTTGATTTTTGGACACATACACGCTGCAACATTTCGGGAATGACATCCGCATATTTATGCTGGATTCACTCTTGAAATAGCAATGATTGACACAGTGATAACCATAGCAATGGACGGGTCAAAAAACATATGTGAGAGCGTGCTTAAAAATGAAAGGCCATCAACAGACACTTAAAGGCACGATATGTAATTTTCGCCACTAGAGGGCGCGTATTCAAAATAAACAAATAGACAAAGGCGTAGTTTGATGACGCCGTGACTGAGTGTGGAATCATGGGAGTTGTCGTCTTCATCCCCACAGCCGATGCAATCCGATGGGACTCGGACAGAAATCATGTTCATGGATAAGCTAATGATTTATTAACGTAGTAGAATGAAGCAGGGTGAGGCTGAAAGCCATCGAAGCGAAACGAGGCCGCTGAACCAGCGCGACACACGGTTCGAAAGCAGCGGAGCTTT